CCTGGCATTGCTACTAGGAGCAAGAAGCTACCAGGGGCTCCTGGCATCGCTACAGGAGCAAGGACGCTGCTAGGTTGGAGGCCATGAAAACACTCTGAAAACACGTGGATCTTTCCATCCCGCCTCGATGGTGGTGGTGACATTGTTCGTGGAGGTGAGGGTGTCACTCTGGGAGCCTAGCGAAGTGATTGGAACGTGGCTCACGCAAGCTCGAAAACTACAGTAGTAATTATATAGTGTGAAGTTGCTTGGCCCCAAATGCTGCACACACTTATAGGCCAAACTTTGTAGAACTACATGTCGAGGGCTCTGACCTTTACTTGCATCAGTCTGCATCCATAGGTGTCACGGAATGCCCGATGGTGGAATATTGTGAGGCTCGACCTGTAAATGGTTCGCCAACTGTCCAATCCAAGCGTGTACAGTATGGTTGATTGTTGTCAGAACCAAGACTCTGCGTCAAAGGCAGGTAGGCAAGCGCCACACCCCAAATGCGAAAAACTATTTCCACTGTGGACAATACGCATTAGAGACTGATTCAACAATGGTGCATAGCATGTTCCCTTTGGACAATTGTGCCGTGTTTGTTCATTCGAAGGGCCAAACACACGAAATTGCACAAACCTTGATTTTGGTGTGCAATCCACTTCAGCGGTCAACAAGGTTGGCCATTGCTGCTTCTTTTGAGAGCCAAAGGTCCCCAAAGTCTGCGCCAAGCCTGATTGCAACAAGACCTTCTGAGTGACCGGAACGGTGCCCACTGCACAAAATGAAGAACAGAAAACAATCAAAATTGACAGGATCTTGTGGGCACAAACCTTGAAGCAAAGAGTGGCTTGGTCATGATGGATGGCAGGTGACTAGAATCTCACTCATAGGCGCAGGATACTCCAATCAATGACACTGATTCTGGCGCAGGGGCAGGGTTCCAACACTTGTCTTGATTCCTTCCCAACTCCTGAACTTGATGTAAGGCAAGGTTACCCTGTTTATCTGAATTCCAGAGTCCAAAACTGATCAAACATGATCAAATTGAACATTGAACTCTAAACCGAGAATCCACTTAATCCATGACCTGCAGGAAACAATGTAGGATTGTTTAAGTCCTCTTGGAGTCTTGCCGTGCCTCCGGCTGAGCCGGTTGGCGGACAGCTTGTGCATTGGCCTCTGCCAAAGCATACTGCAAGAAGTTCCAATTGACCATGCCAATCAGTGTATTGTGTGTGATGATGAAATCAAATTATGTTGCTGCATCCTATGAATATATGTAAATAAGTAGATATAATTACATGAAAGCCTGCACCGGCACGTGCTACATATGCTTGCAAGTCTGTACTTTGTTGCCTTTGGAAGAGCAAAGCAAGAGGATTTTGTTCTTCAAACAAAAATGTTAAAAGACGGAGCCGAAATGTGGTTTCCATTGAAAAATCCTTACCTGCACTGAGCCACCACGGGGTCTCGCCACTGCTTCCTGAGTCGAACTGTTTTACATGTTTTTCCAAGCCATGCCATGCGCAGCTCGCGCCCTAGTCTGACACATGTTGTCGCCTACGTGATCCATGACTTGAGACGTCACGCTAACCCACATCCTGTACAATTCATGCACGACTCTGTCAAGTTCTTT